CTATTAATGAATGGGAGGATAGGGCTTGTTCCTTGCGCGGTCATCGGTCGACCACCCCAAAAAGGAAGAAGGAGAAGAAGTAACTGATGAGGATCTTCACACAACATTATTGCGTGGCTAAGGAATGACTGAGAACTGCCTGAACCGCCCCAAAGGGAGCGAGTGAGAGAGGGGGAGGCTCACAAGAGCATGCGCGCGAGCGAGCGAGAGGGGCGTACATTTCTCAATTAATTAGTCAGGCTGGTGTGGAATATACTAATAGCGGCCGAGCAGAGGGAATACGATAAACGCCGAGACATGCGATTAAAGAAAGATGGCGAACCGGCGCCGAGCCGAGCCGAGTCGGTGAGCCGGTCAGGAGACCGGTCCGACGCGGCGATCTGGTCTGGTCTCGGTCCGACCGCTTGTGACTGGCTGGCCGGAGTGGCCGCCCCGTCTGCCTCCACACATATTTTTCCATCTAAATTACTTCGTTATAAGAATCAGCCATGACGCCGCTAGCGCCCCGATGCCGGGCGGTGTGCGTTCTCGACGGCCAATAAAATAATGCATTTTGTATAAAGCCAAGGGGAGGTTTTCTTGCTGTCCCGTGGAAATGGCCATCCGCACGGCAAGGAAATAAATGTACGACCTGACGGCGCCCTCGTATGTGTGCTTTAGCCCGCGAAAAACTCGTGAACTGGATTACAGCGTATGCTAATGCTTTTTATTTGGATGATTGGGATTTTTCTTGCTTTAAGAAGACCCAATATGTCATTAACGGGATCGCATTGCAGTGAAGGGCTATCAAGCGAATTATTATTCCATTACTAAACCTTAGAATCTAAAGAAATGTTATGCAAAGGTAACCACTCCCCCTTGACAACCCCCATGTACGTGGGGGCAGAAGGCGTGGTTTTTCTGCATATTTTCCCGTAAAAACGATACAGTGTAATAAATTGGCTAGTTTTACGACGGGTGACCACGAGAAGTGAGCCGGCAAAATGAATGGCAAATGATTATGTTGCCGGGAGGAAAAAAAACTCAAAACCAGCGGTGGCCCCCGCCGGGGCCTGCTGTCCAGTTCAACCTCACGCGACGTGGAAATAAACTTGCGTGAAATATCACGAAATAAATAAATTTCAAAGCCAAGCCCACGTTCTCTTTTTCTCCTTTTCTTTTTCGCGTGCAAAGAGTTGTTGGACTGTCTGGCCTCCGCTGAGTAGAGAGGCAAGGCACGTTGGTGCCCCATAAAGAACCCTTTTTTAGCACTATCAGCAGCTGAACAGTTCTGGTTTTCAAGTTGGTTTAAAAATATTGAAAGGTTTTTCTTATTAATACTTGGGTCTCAGAACATTTGGCCAATGAAAATGGGCACCTCTGCAATGTAATAAATAATAACCAAGTAAGTAAAAAGGAGAAAAAATAAGAAAAAAACATAACCGCTCCTTCAAATTCGGGGGCGCAACACAAGGCCAGAAAATTAATAAACTTTGTATAACAAAACCGAGCTTGTGCCAAAGTTATGTCAGTTTAACGACAGAGCACAGCTCCAAGCGAACCCCTACAACAGGTAGCCCATTCCACGTGGTTTGGTTTAGGTCCACGTTAATGAAATTCTCCTGCGCAACACAACTACAACCACCACCAGCACATCCCCCCACCGCTCCACCTGTACCGCTGAGCCCCAGCGGGAGAGCCAACATTCCAGCGGGGCGGAGGGACGGGGCTGTGTGTGTATATATATATATAAAGGGAAGGGCCGGATTGGTGCGGCAGATGTGAAACACTGTAATATGGAAAGGAGGAGGGGAACGTATCATATTTATACGAGGCTTTACATATTATTTGTCGAGCTCTTGACTACCCCCAGCGGGTGGCATGGAGACCCGTGGAGTGGCGGCGGCGCGGATGTGGGGTATACCCTCTTTCCAAAAGTATTTCAAAATTGTCGGTTGTGGGGGGGGGAAGAATTGAATTGAATTGAATTTATGAAGAGATAGATAGAGAGAGAGAGAGAGAGAGAGAGGAATGCTATTTTGTCCCATAGGGTTTTAGGAGCGAAGTTGGAAAACTATCCCTCAAACGCAGGAAAATACATGCAGCCTATGTCTATGTCTCTGTGCCCCTCTTTTCAATTTCCTCGTCCTCCTTACGCGTGAGCGCGTGTTTCGATCAGATGGTCCTGAAAGAATTTTTATCACTTTGGAGATTCGGATTTAGTTTTCCGTGTGATTTGTGGCGGGCTGCACGTGGGGTGCGTGTGCATCGCGCACTCTGCGTGTGTCCAGCGCGGGCAGCACACAGTCCATTCATACATTATTTATATGCAAGACGATAAAATAGAAACAGTGATGGTGCGAGCCGAGCTGGGGCGCATTGCACGCACACACGCACATGCGCGCGCACGCGCACGGACAGCAGCGCACGGCGGGTTTCCACTCCTTCACGCCCAAGCGCACGGTGCACCTTCGGCTCAGTTCATATTTCACGCGGTGCGAGAGGAAGAGAAGGGGAGGGGGACGGCGTATAATCAAGGGCCCCGAGTTCGCTTTGCAAGACGCGCTGTCTGAAAGGAATAATAAATATACGCGCCTAGACTCGGATTCCCGCCTCTCGGCGATGCAGAAGAAGGCAAGCGCGCAATGCGGTTCATTTTTCGCGCGCTCGGCCATGACAGTGCCAAAGTTATTTACGACGCCGAGTCTGTGCGATATTAAGTTACTAGTCGTGAGAATATCAGTTGAGTCACCTGATCGCCGGGCAATTCCCTCGGATTGGCGCAGGTCCCCGTCGTAAATGTATCGGAGCCCGGCGTCGCTTCGTCGCCGCCTCGGCGTCGGTCCAAGCGTCCTCCCCTTGAGCGTCGCCCCGGCTCCTCCGGCTCCATCAGGAGTATCAGCTTTACGGGTTACCAATTGTCCGGCGTTTCATCGCTGATACGGCGCTATCGTCCATCTCCCTCGGGCCCGGGGCGGCGCTGCAGGGGCGAGACGGACCAGCGCCTCTTTGGGAGGGGAATCAGGTGCGTCCATCAAACGCGCCGCGCCGTTCCGACGGAATCGCCAAAATACAAACAATCTCCGGCGAGGCGATTGGGAGCACGGCAAGTGGGGCCGGCGCCGTGACGGTGTACAAGATGGCGGCCAACGCAACGAATGAGGGCTTTTAGTCTTACTTTTAGTGTACAGAGTATTCCTTTTTATTACGGTAGTACGACAGGAGTTAGGAGTTTGATGGTACTATCCGAAAGGACTTTTGTTTGTAGTACTATGTTGAATTCAGGTGGTATCACAGAAGACCAGCAATGTAGCCAAAACCCTCATCGAACGTCCCCTCTCTTCACTGATAAACCACGGGCGCAACTGCTTGACACTTGTAAGTGTGGAACTCCAAGTTGAAAACCTGCAAGTGTTCGACCTCGTGGGTGTACACTTACAAGTTTTCAAGTCGGTAGCTGAGCACTTGCAAGTGTGCAACTCGTCGGTTGAATACTTCCTTAGATTGGACGCTCATTGTGTGGGGAGTGCTCAACAGAGGAGCTGCACACGAGGTTGCAAACTTGCTGGTGCATAGCTACCGAGTTGAACACTTGCAATTGTGCACCTTTAGAGTTGAACACCTGCAAGTATTTAACTTGCAGTTCACACTTCCAGGTGTTAGGCAGTTGCAAACTTAGTTTGTCAGTGTTTTATTGGGTGCTTTCCTTTCAACTGAAAAAAAGTGTATCGATTTCAGATTTTTGAGATTGTCACTCTATCATTGGGAGTGCAATTCCAGCTACTACTTTGTGGCGAGAGAGAGGGGGATAAAGGGTGTGAGACAGCAGCCGTGAATACAGACGTGTGAAAAAGCTGGTAGCACACACTCGAGTCCATAGTAGTGCCATCGTGTTAGCGCCACTTAACACACGGGCGATAGACGCGCAATATAAATTAAACGGTGACTAACAAGCGGTAATCGCCCACAAAACGGCCGAGCGGTGTAAAAGAGCCAACAATGAATCGAGTGCTAAAGCGGCTACAGCGGCACGGGACCACAACACACCATTAAACCCCTCAATAGACTTCCTAAATGTTTATATATACTTGGACCCCCGACCTACCCCTCGTGATGGCGTCACACGTAACGAGCCCGAGATTGCCTCCAAAATGGCTTTACGATTATTTCCTTCCTGACGTCATGATAACAGGTGTGCAGCGGGCGATGGCTGCCTTGACCTTGAGCTACTCGGCTTCATTCAGGCTGGTTCAAACCAATTGCACTCATTTCGTAGACGATACAATGTGAAAAAATATTTAGTGTCCAGAAGCATCTCGAAAGAAACTTGGCCCCTTACTGAAATGAATTGTGCTAGAAACTGACTTTATTCATCCAACACAGCACAGCGCGCCAGTAAGCGATGCCAGAACCAGCAACTGCCGTGGGGACGTTTGAATGAATGGTACAGTCACGGCAGCAAATACATAATGCACACTGGTAAGAAGCGCACAAGTCATAATCTGGCTGTAACGGCGTGCGTATAAAAGTTAATGGCTTCATGATCGCTGCTCCGATGGCCCCTGTGATGTGCGTGGGTTAAGTGCTGTCTGGCAGTGGCACGCGTCTAGCTCAGGTGCACCGCCGACAGTGTAGTTGTCTTCAATGTATACTTGTTTGCTACTAAATACTCTCCATATCAAAGCAATTTGTCTGATCCCCATTGTTGTTTTAGGTTGTGTGTGTGCTGTTTTAAAGTAAAACATTCATGTCATAGCAATACTGACATTACAAAAAAATCATCAGAACCGTTTGGAGAAACTCAACTTTGAATCTATAGTTTTTGTCAGTGTGTTCTTGAAACTGCAACAGTCGTGTGGAGGGAGCCTTTTTGTGACGTTGATCCCCTTTCACTCTTTCTCTCCACTCGGTTTCCCCCTTTCTCCCCTTCTCCTCCCCTCTTCCCTCTCGCTATTCCGTTCCCGCTGCCTTCTCAAAAGCTTACGATTATTTGGCACTAAAAGGGCCGTAGCAGCTCCTACCTCAGCAGACGATAAAGACGTATTCTGTTGGGGGTCTCCGCTCGGCCACGCGGCTGGAACAGAACCAAACAAACATACTTAGCACAGGAAAGATACGTGTAACATAACATACACTTTTCAATCGCAAGACTGATGGAGGTAAAGTTTTACATACAAAGAGGTTCGATAAAAATACAGAAGTTCCCGCATGTAACTCTGGAGGAATCTTTTCCACTTTTAAACCGACAAAAGTGTAAAAGTCATCAAAAAATTCGGCATTTCCGCTCACTCTGTTAAGGGGCATGAGAACTATTTTCCTAGTGTCCTACACTGTACTGCGCGCCAACATGGCCGCAGACCAGGCCAGTTGTGCGCAGACGAGCCTCCCCCTACCACCGCGCCTGGCAGCAGCGCCGATTGTTTCGCACAACAATGTCAGAGAGTGTGGGCCACAGTAAGAGCCCTTGGGATTGCCGGCTAGCCCGCCCGCCCGCCGGCCTGCCTGCCTGCACGGCCAGGCTCTCCAAACCGGGAAAACAATCCACTAGACCAGCCCCAGCCTATTGTGCCGCAGTGTAAGTGTACAGTCCCAGGCAGCCGGCCAGCAGGGCCTCTCTTTGCGTCGAGCCGACGCAAATTTCGAATAAAATATTTTAATAATGAAACCATGAAAGCCAAACTCGCACCTAAATCTTTCACACAGAAACAAACCAATACAACAGTCAACACACAAGACGAGGCCTGCTGCCCAGGAAATGGCAAGATGGTACTGTCCCTTAACAAACAAAAATATAATATTAAAAAAAAACTATCTTTTTTAAAGTTGTGAGCCTTTCCCACTGTCTTATCGTACGTGCGGGACGCCGTGTGGGGAGGGTCAGGGATAGGAGATAAACACGTCATTAAGTGCGCCGTTTGCTGCACGCGGGCCGCGACGGACAGGCGGACAGACCATCGGACAGACCGTCGGACAGGAAAGACAGGCGGCCAGACCGGCAGGCAGATGGGCGGGGGCTGTTTGTGACGTGTGAATAAACTGTCGGCCTGTCGGCCCGAGATGCACTCTTGCCTGCTAACCAAAAGTCAGAAACGTAGACGCTCGAGGCGTTGTAAAAAAATACGAGCTCCTGCAGCAAAGCGAGAGAGATGCAGTAAATCAGGAGCACCCCGGTGTAATATGACTCGATGACCATCTTGAATATTTCACGCTGTTGCGTCCCCATAGTGACCCGATGGCGGCGCACGATGGCGCCTCAGACGCGACCGATGATCGCCTGCCATTTCACGCCTCTGTTTTCGAGGCAATAATGTTGTTTATGGACGAGAGAGAGAGTTATAGCGGTGTCATCATAGCCTGCCCCTGGCAGACACTCCATTTTGCGAGCCGCCGTCTTCCTCCATTTCTCCCCAGAAGAGCAGTGGTACTGTTTGTGCGACTGTTACACTTTAATTTGAGCGTGTTTTAAACCGGACTCAATATTATTATTTTTTGGAAGGGTGGCCAAGCAGGTGTGTGTGTGTGATGCGAGAACACCGATGCGACGCACTGCTGCGGCTTCGAATGGCCTTGGGGGCAGTCTATGTCGCCCCACCTTTTGTCAGCGATGAGCACACCGGCCCGGCGCGAGGCTCAAGGTCGTCGTCGGGTGCAGTGTAGAGCAGCGACGCTCCGCAACATCATCTGCATGGGCCACCCCCGTGAATAATCAGATAAAAGTCAAGTAAACTTTACTTGTCGGGTAGAATATTTAAAAGTACTGTGAAATTAAAATTTTAAAATTCGAGGAATTCCTCGAATTTCCCTTTTCTTACACTGGGCACGAATTTGCATGCCACCATCAGCCTCGGATGTACAGGGAAAATATCCCACACGCCTGTCCAGTATTTCCCTCGAGAACGCTCAGGTCCCTCACCCCCTAATAAACCAGTTAGGGACCCATACTCGAGCAGCGGTACCGGGACCGCAGCAGCCGCCTCAGCCCACGACAAGAAAAATTGCTAGTAAACGAGAAATAAATCCGAGACTCAGCTGGACCGCGTCCAGACAGCGTCGAGCGATGGCGGCAATTCGCGGGCAGTTTGGCGGCGCAGAATGAGAGAAAAAGGGGCGGGGACACAGCAGTGTCGTCCCTTTGGCAGTTTCGGCTCGCCGCCACTATTTAACTGCCTATTAAATATTCGAGCAATATTTTTTTGCCATCCTAGCTCAACTAGTGTACGGACGTGAGGGTCGTCGACCAGCAATCATCTGCCCTCGTACAAGTCAACGCCCTCACGGAACGGGAATTTGAGAGTAAATATACCAAAACAAAAAGATACTATTTTGCACCGTTGCATTCAATTGAGTTGCGCAGTAGGCAGGTATGAGAGGCAGTATTACTGTCGATTTTTGTTTAGTTTTTATTTTATTTACAAGTCCAACGCGCTCCGTGTGGGAGTCAATGTTACAGAGCGCGGGTGGCGTGCAGGCGCAGGGTAGGCAGTCCCGTGGCGCTGCCGTGCGTGGCGGGACGGCCTACCCGCACAGGCGCTCCAGCCACCAGAAGCGTTTTGCGCAAAATGCATTATTAATTACTTTGCAGGCGAAAAATAGAGGGGGAAACGTGTGGGTGGGTGGGCAGGAGTGCGGCAAACGTTATCGTGCGATGGGGGGTGTTGGAGAAGGGCAGAAAAAAAGCGGCAGGCTCTCACACAGTCTACGCGCGGTGCGGGCGCGGTGCGGGTGCGGTGCGTGGGCCCGTGTGGCGTGGGAGTCCAGAGGCGTTTGTTCTCCACCGAAAAGATAAGATAGAAACGCGCAAAAATATATACAGTTTCAAACACCTTCTTTAAAAAAAAGTGGATATATCTCTTTCTTTTCTAGGGCAGTTCCAGATGGTCGAATAATGGTCAGCTGGGGGCCTGGTCAAGTAAAAGCCGTGGAATGGAGAGAGGCAGATGTTACGCGGTGACATGAGCCAAGCCGCGCCGAGCAGAGCCGAGCAGAGCCGAGCCGAGCAGAGCCGAGCAGAGCCGAGCCGAGCCGCCGCCTTTTCACCCGATATATGCGTGAGACATGTTTTCGATTACTTTTATGGGATGCACATTTCCCTGTGGGACGGATGGGTTGAATGCGCGCTGCCGCTATCATGGAGAGGGGGTCGTGTGCGTGTATGTGTGTGTGTGTGTGTGTGTGTGTGAGAGAGAGAGAGAGAGA